AAAATTTGTTCCAAGAAATGTAATCAACGATTTTCTGTAGAAGTAGAGAAATTAGGACTGCAAAGAGACATTAACAAATCATATACCTGATCACCTATAGAAAATCAAACACGGTGGTTATTTTGATTCTATATCATTTGCCTCTTACTCAACAATTAGTCCGAGCGGTAAAAGCCGTAGGAAGTGCAAATAAAAATGGACAGTAATACAGATAATATTAGTAACGAAATAATTACTAATAATACCTGCGCGTAAAACAACCATATAAAAACAGAAAATAAAATTATAATTTTTATAAATATTAGGAGCTTGACTGAAAATTATAATAAATTAATAACATTCATTAATACCTTGCAAAAAAAAACCAAAGATGATAATATGCACTGAAACCTGGTATCTGGAATAACCATCTATTATATAACATTGAAGATTACAATATGCACTATAATAATAGTAAAATTAACAAATTAAATGGAGTGATTATTAGACATGATGTAAAAGAAATCACAGAAACAGTGAAAATAAATATTCTAAATAAACAATTACTTAAATCTATAACGAGTACGACTGTTGCTCGTTATATTTCTCTTTCATATCCCAATATACTTTTGTAAATTAAATGTATATTAATATGTAGCATTTAAGTTTCAGCGGGATGAAGTAAGGTAGGTGAGAGAGAGAGAGAGAGAGAGAGAGAGAGAGAGAGAGAGAGAGAGAGAGAGAGACGGGTTCGATTATCGAACGCGCGGACTGCGAGGAAGGCGCTCGATTTCTCGGCGCAAGAGATTCGGCTGGAAGGTTTCGACGCGAACACACGTGTGCCGGCTAGCGATCCTATTTCCTTTGTTTAATACACTCAAGCAACATACAGATACACTCCATCAACGGATATACATATAGCACGGGGCTAAATCTGGAGAATACCATGGATGGGGCAGCAGGTCGTAGCCTAATTCGACCAATTTGGCCATGGCGACGGCGGAGGTGTGAGCCGGTGCGTTGTCATGGTGGAAGAGCACTTTTTTCGAGTCAACCCAATATTTCGGCATAGTATAGCCCTGTGACCGTTTTGCCCCTCTCCAGGTAGTCGATGTAGATCACACCTTGTGAATCCCAGAAAACGGCGGCCATCACCTTTCCGGCCGATGGGGCACTCTCCGCCTTCTTCGGAGCACTTTCGCCGGGTAAAGTCCATTGTTTCGACTGTTCCTTAGTCTCTGGTGTATACCAGTGGATCCATGTTTCGTCGACTGTCACGAAACGACGCAGAAACTCCTTCGGATTGCGCTTAAACAACGTCAGACATTGCTCTGAAGTTGTCTCACGGTTGCGCTTGTTGTCCGGAGTGTGCAAACGCGGCACCCATCGCGCCGACAGCTTTCTCATGCCCAAAATTTCATGCAGGACATGACCCACGCGGTCTTTTGAGATGCCTACGATCGTAGCTATCTCGTGCACCTTTAATCGTCGATCTGCCAATACGAGATCGTGAATTTTTGTCACGTTATCCTCCGTGGTAGCCGTTTTCGGTGCAGCTGGACGTGGCTCTTGAAAAATCGACGTGCGACCACGTTGAAACTCGTTAAATCAATTTTTGACGGTCGCCATCGAAGGAGAAGAGTCACCGTATACAGCATCCAAGCGCTTTTTGATTTCGCTGCGCGATTTCCCTTCCAAAAACAAGAATTGAATCACCGACCGATATTGCTCTTTTTCCATTTTTCAAAAATCAACGGACACACATGCTTTCACACGCTCTGAAAAATAAACTACAACTCCGATCCGGGTGAAATCTTGACAGTAACCATCAAGAAGGTTGTACTACGTGATAGAATATTTCTTTTGCGAGAGTGGCGCCATCGGACGGTGAGGAAGTACTTATCGGACCACCCTCGTATATTTCTTTCTTGTTTATTGTAACACCCGTATTATCGCTAATAAATACTATGTCTACTGTTCTCGCGTGAGAACATTTACTCGATCTCTCGAGTTTCGCGTTTAGGCGTGCGGGTATAGTGCCTCGACCTGGCATTGGAGCCATGACGCTCCGACAACACCTAGTGAACGGGGGTCCCAGGTAGGAGACAAGCCGAGCCATTCAATCTAACCGACCCCGGATTCATCTCGTTTCCTTTTATTATCATTCATTATTTTGTGACGGAGAATCACAGCTCGACCGTTGCTCTCCGTTGGGCTCTCACTGATTCCCCGTGCGTTTTGACGAGCTGGGAGTGTGCACTAGTTGAGCACACTTTAATCGCTCCGTTTCTTTCTTTTTTTTGTTCTTTCTTGAGGTGCGACGGCGACGGCAGCGAGTCGGAGAGAGCACAGCGAAAGAGGGAGAGAGAGAGACAGAAGATAGGCGAAAGCCAGGGAGGCGTCGGCAGATCTGCGCTCGCATCTCGCTGGCTTGGTGAGGAACGGGCAGTATCTGTTGAGCAGCCGCACGGTCCATCGCGCGCACACGAGTTTTCAGTTGGTTTTTCGCCTACTCGAATTGTGATTTACGAGTTCCCGCGCCCTCGCCGACGATTTGTGACTTTGGAAGTACGTGGCCGGTGTGCGGAGTTTTGTCTAGTCGAAAAGCAGTCTGTGGAAGTAGCGGAACCGGCACCGGTGCACGTGGACGACGGGCGAGGTGATGCGGGAGTGTGCACGCGTGCGGCCATCTTAGAAGTGGTGACCGAAACTTGTTTGCCGATCTTGAGCGTGAGGTGAGATACGGGCCAATACGGATACACATACACACACACATACAGTCACTTCCAGGGGTCACCAACTCACCAACACGCCAACACGTTGACAACAATAACAGTGATAACAACAATAACAACGACAGCGAGTGTCTCAACGATAACAGGGATACAACAATATCACCACTAACAACGAGGACGGGGACAACAACAAAAACATCACTAACAATGCCAACCGGAGTAACAAGAACAGCAACAATAACACCAGCCTCACCGAGAGAACATTCGAGAAGCCGAAGGAGACCTACCACCTAGTTGCTTGCTTTTGTTTTCTTTTCCAGAGTATTCCGCCTTCGACAGGGGCAAGGACGCCGGCAGAGTCGAAGTCGACTCGAGACAAGGTCGGTGCAGTGTTTCTCTTTCTCTCTCTCTCTCTCTATCCGAGGCGCCGAATAGACACCTCGCAGTTCGGCAGCTCTGCCGATTGCGAGGTCGCGCTTGTTGTGTTCGGGCGGTTATTGTTTGTACGCGGCGCAATCTTCTTTTATTTTATAGTTTCTTTTATTTTGTATTTTCTACTGATTTTGTTTATTTCGATTATTTTGTAATTTACTTATTTATATTTTCTACCGTTCTACTTACTTTCTATTATTTTGTAGCTTAGTTCATTTTATAATTTTCTTCAGTTTGTATTCGCCGATTATTTGGGTTTTATTTAAGTTCCTTTTGTTCAATCAATTTCTTTTCCGTGTTTAAGTTTTGTTTATTGTTGTTTCATTGCCGTTATTATTAAAAACTATTATTTCGTTCAAGTTCAGCCTTATTTATTTACCCTCACAGTCACTCCTGTTTCCGTGCAATAGTCCGCGTACGATTAACGCGTGTGCTCGACGCGTTATTTAGCCGTGGGAACGATTCTTGCTTCCCGAATCCCTGGTAAATAATTTGTACGGGCAGTCGCGAGCCATCCGAGGAAGGACGACTGAGATTCCCCGTTACATGGCATCCCTTGTGGGGAATTTCACGACGCGCATAAGATTTTGTGGATGTAGTTCGATTGAGGAGTGACGGTTGTTCGGACATGCGATTGAGTCGGATGATCGGGGAATTGTACGATCGCGATTCGTATGCGTGGGCGCGGCATCGTCGTGAGGACAGGTTTTTCTCCTAGGGTGGTGGTGAGCTTCACTAGGTAACCGAAGTGTATCGTGGTTGCCTGAGTGCAGGGGCATTTTGAGCTCGCATAGTTGTATGGTGCAGTCGTTGCGGTGTGCAGTATCTCAGTCGACGACGGTTGGACGGGCGCGTACGCGGTGAGTGCGCAGGGGGCTGAGTAGGTAACAGCCTGCGCTAGGGTGTGCGCAAGCGGCTCAAGCGCGTGCGCAGTACAATCTGAGCCTGGTTGTCGACTGGGACGTGTCATTGCGGTGCGTGGTGACTGGGGCACTACTGTACAGGGCCAAGCGGGTACTACTGGAGCTAGAGGAAGGCCTATCCTGCGGGGTAGTAGTTTTTAGGATTTTTAGGTTGTTTTTCCGAGGTTTGTGGGTTGGTTGACGCGTTGAGCCCCCCCCCCCCCCCAGAAGACGAATCAAGATGCCGCAAAACCCAAGGAAGCCGGAGCTTTTTATACGGCACCTGTCGAGGCAGCTGGAGCTTCAGCATTTGCGGGCACGGATCTTGAGGATGTCGCCGCAACAGTTGACCGAGGTGATGCTCCAGGAGGGTTTGAGTATGGAAGAGAAGCTAGTCCTTTTACAGGATCGCTTTTTCCGCACGTTTGTGATGAAATCGCGACCTGAGATCGGTGCTCCCCTGTACCCCGAAGACTTCTTGTCTGGTCGGTTGCCGGAGCCCATCCACGTTGACGATGAGGATATGGGGACGGATCTGAGCTTGCCCAACGTACTAGAGTAGGCGTTGACGCGCGAGACTCACTCGAATCTCTTGGAAGGTGACGAACTCTCCTTGTTCCGTCCTTCTGGGTATAAGGGGATGGAGCACTCGATTCCGATTTCAGGATCGGCCGAACCATCCGACATCGCGCAGCGGACCTTCGTCGAAAAGGATGCTGAACGCGAGTCGAACGCATCGGAGGTCGAGAGGAGAAACTAGACGTCCGTGTTTGCCTCGGTTGTGCCGCGGGGTAGTGTGGCGAATCCTGGTGTTGGGACTGGAGGCGCGAGACTGCCGAGCCATATTTTGCCGCCAGCCATCGCGCAGTTGAATCCAGCAATGCTTGATCAGCTAGTGCTGGTCTTGCAGGCGTTCGGGTTCGGTTCAGGTGGTCGAACTGTGGCAGGGAGTATGGCTCCGGCGGCGCAGGTTCCCACAGCTCCAGTTGTTTCTCGAGTGTCGTCGGCGCGTGCGGAAATCGCATCGCAGCAGGGAGTGAGTCGGCCCAGGCTACCCCAGCTCTCAGGTCCTGACAGACCTTCGCAGAAGCTGTGACGGGGGTCAATGGCTTCAGCAACGAGTGATAGGGAGCGTCGGGCGAGACCAGACAAAAATTTGGGTCCGCCGACGTCTTCTCTGAATTCGTCTAGTGAGACGAATCAGAGGCGACCACGTCACAGGCGAAGACCAGGCAGGAGGCAGCGCAATAGGCGCGTGAGCTCTGCAGAGTCGAGCGAGGCGAGCGACATCAGTTCCTCCAGCGAAGACGAGAGAACATGTGCTCGTTGCCAACGTCGGTCACACCGTGACCATCGAGCGAGATTGAGCTCCAGTGGGTGGCCTCCTCAAGGCGAGAGAAGGCGCTTGAATGGGAGACGGGCTGATGCGGTAACTGCGTTCCGCATATGGAATCTGAGAATCACCGGAGCTTCAGGATCGTCAGCTGAACGTTTCTTGAAGAGGTTGGAGCGCTGTATACAAATGTACAGGCTCCCGGATCGCGAAGTGCTTCCAGCCCTGTATGCCATTTTTTCCAATCGCGCAGAGGTATGGCTGTCCAACAAATTTGGAAGGTGGCGTACGTTCCGAGAGTTCGCTTCCAATTTCCGTCATCATTATTGCCGAACACTGTCTAGGGAGGAATATTACGACGTACTAGCTCGTCGAACGCAGGGTGAGGATGAATCGATAGGGGATTACCTGACTGCGTTCGAGAGCGTCATAAGGCGAATGAGGAGAGAAAACTGATCCGTTTGGCAAAGGCAGGATTGAACCAGGAGTACGGGAGGTACATCCGGGAGAAGACGGTATGCACTCTGCGTGATATAGAATATTACGGAGAGAAGCTGGAGAAGCATCGTGAGTGTGAGAGGAGGTGGCATCCTCCTTCTGCTAAGGACAACTTGCCGGTTGAGGACGCTGCTTATCGAGGAAAGGGCAAGAAGAGCCACGTGGCAGTCAGTGCCGTGGTTGCCCAAGGAGAGGTGTCTCCGGCGAGGAAACCGAAGGCGAAAAAGAAGAAGCAAGAGAAGAGGAATGTTTCTGACACTGCCACATGTTCGTCGGGTAGCGACTCGGGAGTGTATCAGTGCGCGGCGAGCAGTTTCATGCAGCCCGTACCAATACAATTACCTGGTCCTAGGGCCGACAAAGACCAGGGAAGATCTGGCAGGGATATGCAGGTCTCTCAACGTCAGAGTAGCCCAAGGAACGGGCGAGATAGAGCTGTTCTTCAGGGTCGATGTTATGGTTGCAATAGAGAGGGCCATAGGATCTCGGAGTGCTCTGGTTCTGATCGAGGACAGACTGGCCGGGCACAGGGGAACTCAATTTGTTTCCGCTGTCGTCAACCGGGACATTATGCTTCGAGTTGTCCTCTAGGTTAATCGAGAGAGTCATGCCAGAACTGCTAGGCGCCGAACTGTACATTCCGCACCTGTGCGAATTGCGAGCCGATTCGTAGGTTGGCTGGAAACCGATCCACTGGGAGTGGAAATCCAACGCTCTCAACGATAGTTTACAGTGAGCTGCAGGGTTCGGGCACGACTAACTCGACCTAAGGGTGTGAGGCTAGGAAACGCGCGAGATTGTTCGGAGTGCCATAGGCGCCACTCGTGTGAGGCAGTGCCCGCGAGCGGTTTCTCGCAGTGGGTTGCCCATCGAGGAAGGTGTCGGGCCAGTTCGAAGAAGCGGTGTTTCTCTTTCAGGGTCGTTGTTTTCGTATTGTAAGGTCGTCTGGTTTTGGTTTTAGTTTTAGTTCTGGGTTTTTCTTTTGGTGGTGGGTTTTGATTATCTGATTTCATCGTTATCAGACAGCTCACTCGTGGCCAACGGAAAGGCCCAGCCATGGCGAGGCGCCCGGACGGCGAGAGCGGGAGACAGCCCCCCGATCCTATGGAAAGGATCGGTTGCTTCGGGGGGCTGTGACGAATGACAGCAATGGAATATTCATTGTTTCAGGTGCTCAATCAATTGGAGGAACAGAGAAAGAAATAAAAATTGTTAATCTATTTCCAGGGAAAAATTAACTGGGCAAATTAACGTGTAAAAGTGCAGACCGTTAATGATCGCTGAGCTGTCGCTGTTGGGAAGACGAGAAAAAGAATGGCAACATTATCTTCGGTGAGGCGGTCGTCGACAAAAAGATTGAACTAACGAATTGATTACTCACATATTCAAGGCCTAGATACAGGTAACTGAAATTAGAATTGACGCTCGTGATTCGAAAACACGTTGCATCGTTATTTCAGGCGCACGCAGTGATTCGTGCATTAATAGAAAAAACATTCGCCAAATCAATCTCTAGAAGGAGGAATTATGATAAACCAGGAACTTCTTTTTAAAAATCTCTTCAATCCCCGCTTCACATTCAAGAAATATATATTAATAAGTTTTTACTTTTTTTAGAACGTGTTACATCTGCCCTGGAGTTTCGGACGATCTCGAAAAATGATCCTTCAAGACCGAAGAGGTTCCAAGGTAACTGTGGATCTGCAGTCTTCGTGGTGATTGACGCGGCCGATCTGAAAGTACTGGAAAACTAGACCTGCCTTGGCATTTTTAGCTCATGAAATCAGCTTGCATTCGATGCACTCAGCAAGGCGAGTTTTTTGTTAATTGGGGAAGGTAAAAACAGTATCGAAATATTTTCCAGCGCAAATGAGCTTCAGTTAGATACGTATTGTAGAACAATTAAATAACAATTCCCTTCATTATCAAACGTATACTCTGTGTAAAATTTTTTTATAGGTAAAATTGTAGTTGTATTATGCTGAAAATCGAAGTTCTGCTATTTCTCCCACATAAAGAGTTTTAACGAAGAAATGCTGAAAAGATTTGTAAGGATGTTCGTTAGGCGATATTGACTCGTTTTAAAAACTTTATTATGCATAAGTCTATCATAATTAATTGTATTTGATATGGTTGATTGATATTTTAATGGAAAAACTTGCTGCCTCTTCTATATCTTATTTTTCTTTATAGTTATCATTAATATATTGCCAAAGCTATTTTTATATTGTGTGATAAGTTACGCTATGTGTCAATTCGATTAGTTGCATTTTACGTACAGTAATAAATAAGTAATTAATATTGATACGTTTTTTTGACGCTGTATTACTTTTTTTACCAAAGTTCTTGTACAACTTCCAGTGATCTGTTAAAGTTTTGACGCAGGCAATATAATGATTCGATTGGAATTTTTTGGGAGGATTTACCTGTTGTACTAAACCGATCAAATTATAATTATATTCAAGTTTTAATATTTTTGGAACGTCATTAATGTAAAATTCTTTTTTCTGAGCGGACTAATCAATGGCTAAATACTCGTGTAATTCAACATCTATAACGATACGTCTTTAGCAAACGATGAAAATTGAATTACAGCTCGAATGCCCAATAAACATTTTCAGATTATGTAAATTAAAGTCTTCTGAATCAATTTTCTTTGAATGATAATTAACAACAACTTCTGTCTTACAATTTTTACGAGTTAACGTTTCACTAAAGCTGTAATAATTGACCATGAAATCTTGAAAAAGTATCGGAACCATTTTTCGAATGTTTATAAAATTATGACTGCATCTGAATCCATGTTTCAATAGTTCACATCTTTTTTTATATAACTTGCGTTGGTTATTGTTATCCGCATATTCTAGAATTACACAGGCCAACAAGGTTTCAGAACCAGAGACCAGATATAGTACACCCGAAGGATTTTGGTGCGCTGAATCCAAATCCGAGCTCAGAATTGCGCCAGCACATCAGGATTTTGAAATATTCTAACCTAAATGTGCGAAAATCACGTTTTTTGGCTATATTCGGTACCTTATAACATTGTGAATAAATTTTTTCATGCAAAACTGACAACGGCATCTGAAAGAGCAACTCTTGGCCGACAAAATGCATTACCGATTTTTTTATGTCTTTTTCCAACAGAGATACCGTCAATTGAAATGTGCCATTCATCAATTGATTTATACTGGAGTATGAAAAATCTTGATTTTTTTTCCAATCTTCAGTAGTAGGAAAAACTTACACTGGCAGATAAACCATTGTACTAATTTACGGCGAGTCTAGCTGAATTTATTAGATGTACTCTAAAATGGCAGCTATAAATTTAGGGCAGGCTAAGGCAGATGGTTATGACCTAAATGCACTGAAAATCCTATAACTCTAGAACCAGCGACAGATTAACTTAAGTGCGCTATAACCTGCAAGCTCAAAACCATGACAGGATTGCCTAAGTGCGCTATAACCAACACTCAGCTTAAAACCACAAGTTAACCTAAGCGCTCTATGACCTGCGAGAGGTTAAGCTAAGTGCGTTATAATACGCGGCTGGTTGACCCAAGTGCGCTATCACCTGCAAGCTCAAAATCACGGCAAGTTAACCTAAATTCGCTATAACCTGCTACAGCCGACCCCTTAACCTTTAACTGCCCCCTGAACCTTAAATCCGTTAACCCTGTAGCCCTGAAACCTGTGATGTTATAACCCCCGATGCCGTTACGCAAATCCCTTAATACCTAAGACCAGGAATTTGCGCCACAAGGAATCTAGGGCTATTGTATCGTAGGTTACAGGATTCCGAGGTGAAGAAATTCGGGGTTAAGTTGGCAGGTTTTATTGTCGCGCTTGTTATAACCTTCTTGGGTTAAAATATTAGGGGTTAAGGGGACGGGGATTATTGCATCGAAGGTCACAGGGCTTGGGGGTTAAGGAATTTAGGGTTAAGTGGGCAAGGTTTATTGCCCCACAGGTTACAATGCTCCAAGATCAGAGATTTGAATTATAATAGTCGAAATTCATTGCGTTGCCGTATAAACCAATTGATAAGTAGTACATTTCAATTGACGATAAAAGAAGACATAAACTAAAGATTGTTAGTGCTTTCGTACGATAAGAATTGCTTTTTAGATGCTGTTGTCAATTTTGCACGAAAAAAATTATTCGCAATGTTATAACATACCGTATATAGCCAAAAAAACTTGATTTTCGCACTTTTAGGTTAAAATCCTGACGTACTAGCGTAATTTTGAGCTCGGATTTGGATTCAGCGCACTAAAACACTTCAGGTGTACTATGTCTGGTCACTCGTTCTGTAGTGTCGCAGTATAAACAAATTCATAGGTGTTAAATTTCAAACGATGATATCTCCATTACCAAAAGACATAATAACAAAAATCGGTAGTGCATTTTGTAGACCAAGAGTTGCTCTTTCAGATGCCGTTGTCAGTTTTGCATGAAAAAATTTATTCGCAGTGTTATAAAGTACCGAATATAGCCAAAATACGTGATTTTTGCACATTTAGGTTAGGATATCTCAAAATCCTGACGTGCTGGCACAATTCTGAGCTCGGATTTGGATTCAGCGCACCAAAATCCTTCGGGTGTACTATGTCTGGTCTCTGGTTCTGAACCTTCGTCAAATTTTGTTGGCCTGTGTTATTTCTAAAAATTATTCTTAATTTTTTCCACTCCTGATGTTTGATAATTATATTAGTAATCTTGATCTTAGGAGTCATCCCTATAATTATAGGGATGACTCCTAAGATCAAGATTACTAATATAATTATTTCTAAAAAGTTGTTTCCGTTTACGTTAATGAACTTTTTGCACCGAGTTTTGGAACAATCGTAGTACCTGACTGCTCTGGTTACAATTTCAACTATACTATCGAACGAACTTGTATTCTCAAAGACGTATGTTTTATTTTTGTACACGTATATTTTGCGCTGTCCATTTTCAAGTAAAAAACTCTTGTACATCCGTTTACTTCGTTTCTTTTAGTATTCCCAAATTTCCGGGAACGGTCTGTAGTATTTGGATGGTTTCTTTTTTATTTTTTTTCTGGTTTTCGCGATATGAATTTAGGATTGCTGTTGCGACACGTACGATAGCATTTTTCATTTGAAATGAAGAAGTGGAAGTTGAGATGGGCATAATGTTTTCATCGATCGTCAGATCCATGTCTTTCAATCTCTTGTTCTGTTAGTTAGAAATTTCAGATTTAGTGACTTTTGAATATTCGGAATCAATTTGTTTAAAAAGTCTATAATGGGCAGGGATTGATAAGCTGGATGTTGTATTTTTAGTGATATTTTTGATCAAGTTTATATTCTGGTCTCTTTGCATGTTTTCTTTTGATTGAATATTTCTGATACAGCGCCGTTTTCGTGATTGAAGCTCGGAAATCCGAACGAATAATCATGTTTGTCATGTATTACTCTTAGGCAAAACTTGTAGCTCTCATAATTTACAAATTAAAAGAATCAATTTTTCAATCATAATTAAATTACAAATTAGTCATTCTTATTGATTAATTTATATTCTTACTTTAAAATGTGTGATATTCGAAAGTGTTTGTTGCAATGTTTTCATTTTC